GTATGGTGAGTGTAGAAAACAGTAGACTCTTTTTACTGGAAACTATGCATTTCATCTTGGTCCTCAGGGGTAACAACACATGTGCATCATGATATTTACTTATGTAGATATTTACTTACAGTTTGTCACCCTTATGCTATTAAAAAAGTGTTAACATACCTCCTCTGTCTAGGAGTTCGTCTAGATAGGTACCATCCTCTTAAATATTTAACATAATATAACATAAACACTCACGCCAGTCACCCAGGGGTATAGGCAGAGAATAAGGACTTCCATTTGGCACGATCATGACACACCTCTCTCGCTTTCTCCACATCCATATACCTACGCATACACTCTTCTTTCTTACCTATTTCTGCTGACAATTATCAGTGCTCGCAGTGTTGTGTTCCGCTGCGAAGTGTATAATGAGCCCGTATAAAAATAGGCTGTGAGTGGCCATCTTAGTCCTCAGTGGTGACAATGCACCTGTAGTCTCCTTTGTTTAAAGCTGCAAGTATTCATGGGCTGTAGTAGCTACCTTACCTTCAGGTGGAATCTAGTTTCGTTAGTCATCATTTTTTTTAAACAAACAAAACTCGATGTTTTTCATTCCCTTTCACGTGGCAAATTATGTAAATAACAGTGTCCTAACGCGTTTGGTAGTGACTGATGATAAACAATTGAAGGATCAATTACTATCACCACTCTTTACTACCAGTACTAAAGGGGGATACAAACCACTACTGTGGAAAACCAATGTTTCTTTCATACATAAATATATTTTTATATTAATTTATATTAAATATTGTATATATATATGGGATGCCTAGTTTTAGCAGTGAACTTTGATAGAATGTATTAATGATGTTGATCATGATGACTTATATTTCTTTATTTTGATTAATTATTATACAGTGATATATCATTGAAAATACATATTATTGCTTTACCATCATCATATATTTGTATGTATATATTGAAATTATTATTATATATTTAATATTATGTTAATATAAATAATATGTAATATTTAGTAGCACCGTTTACCGGCTTAAATTAATAAATTTATAGGATGAAATTTGGTTGTATTTTTTTAGTGGTAAGCTGTTGTTATTCTGAATAAATTAAATAATAAACATGGATTGTGGGATCGTGTGTCACTATTAATTTAAAAAAAATTAATTGTTACAAAATAAAATTTTCTATTAAGAGATCAAGCCAATTTTTCTATTGCTAATCCCTATCTCAACCATCCCTCAATGATCCCTCAACCATGCGTTGCAATTAAGGCAAATCCTACATAGAGTGGAAGAGTTCTACAACCAGCAGTGAATCATGACGGGGGAAAGTTAAATAATATTGTAAACAAAACCAATAGGAGGTAAGTCCTTAATTTTAATATTTTGTATTTTACAAAAAAAAAATACGTTATAATTTTTTATTCAACTCGAAAAAAATATTTCAGAACCAGTTTACAGCACATCAAAATTTGGCAGACCAGTATTGATAGTGAACCCCTTCAGGTTCAACTTACACAAGGAGTATGCCTGCAAGGCTGTTTGGAGATGTGATAAATGGAGACTATACGCGTGTCGTGCTACCGTTACAACTATCGAAGGAAACATCGTTAGCGGGAGACCTCACAATCATAAATAAATTGATCCTGTTGCCGATACGAGCTTTTTAACCGATTTCAAAAAATGAGCAGGTTCTCAATTCGACTATATTTTTTTGATGTCTTACCTCAAAACTTTTTTCTATGTGAACCGATTTTGATTAATCTTTTTTGAAAGCTGATACTTCTTTTGTGGTCACATACAAATTTGATCAAGATCTGACCAGTAGTATTTGAGTGATCCTAAATAATGCGTATTTAATTGACTTCAATTACATTGACGATGATTTCATTTGATTTATATTGAAGTTCGTTGTACAAAATTATTAACTTTACTACTTTTTTGAGTCTTAAAACCAGATTAAAGTAGATAGATAATTTTATCAAGAGTAAGAAGATAATTCAAGGAATGTAGCAGTAAAGGATGGCCTTTTATGATAAGGTGATGTAGCTATCATGAAGAGCAACTGCGAAAAACATTAAACATAGTCTCTTTGACTCTGTAGTTGACACACGATCCCATTTTTAATTTATCCACGTAAAATAATGTATGAGAATAAAGTCAACGAAAGACCAATTGTTAAATCGAGATATTTTTGAAGTAGCACCCCGATGGTTTCGCCCCGAATCATTGTACTAGATGTGGAATTTTTTGGACGCTTCTACAGTTAAACGTTTTTGTAAGTTATTGAGTGTTGTAGACTAATGGATATTTTGCATTCAAGCTATTTTATTTTTCTTTCGATGCCACAACATTGAGCAATTTATAATTTTTTTTTATAGGATGAGGGTGACAAACGAGCACACAGTCCACCTGATGGTAAGTGATTGCTGTAGGGCCTAGACATCTTCTAGATCCTCGATTACTAATCAAAAATGCAGATGCGTTGTCTTCCGTGAGGACTAAGATGGAATGCCTTTTTCTAGTAAAAAGTCTCTGGTTCTCTACGTTCACCGTATAAAACACAGCAGCGTTAATCTGCTATTTTACGCTGGTATTCTGTGAGAGAGCCGTGGTAGCTCAGATGGTTAGCGCTCGCTGTAAGCTTCACAGTACTCGAGCAACCCGGGTTCGATCCCCGCCGGCACCAATGAAATTGTTAAAATTGTTAAAATTGTTAATTGCAATTTTAAGTGCTGATTTACCACGTGTTCGGCGGTGAAGGAAAACATCGTGAGGAAACCTGCATGTCGGAGAAATAAGAAAAAAAATATTTCGAAGACATGTGAAGTTCGCCAATACGCATTGGGGCAGCGCGGCTGACTTTTCCTTGCCCTAAAACCCTCTCAGAAATGAGAGGAGGCCTGTACCCAGCAGTGGGACGTAAATAGGCTGCAACTTTACTTAACTTAACTTTATTCTGTGAGAGCGTGGTCCTTCCTGCTCGGTCGAGCGGATTTATTCGTGCTACAACTATACTACTAATATAGCTGCAGCATGGCTCTACCACGTAAAAAATTCTTAAATACATAAAAATTTAATGTTAAAAAGTTGCATTTATTATTATATAAAATTTCATCACGTTGTTTGATTAATTTTGAAACAATGTATAAAGACTATCTAGATAACTTCTTTGGTAACTTTTATTTAAATAGAGATGATTATGATGTAAAATAATTGGAGTGAATAAACAAATATTTTATTTATTATTTTTTATTATTATTTAACTGGTAAATTTTCAGGACGGCATCACTGCTGTGACGCGTTTAATTAAGATTAAAATTTATGTTGCTTGCTGTTTAAAAATAGCATAATTTCAATAAATTTGTTAATTTTTATATTTTTTATACCTATATAGATTTTATATTTTTAAATATAATTGCGCAAATAAGGCGGTGACTTCATTTTTTTTTGCTAAAGAGGCCACGGACTTTAGCAATACACGTTACGGCACTCATAATCATATACAATTACCAAATTTGATCAAAATATTTTTTTTTTATAGGAGAGGGGGCAAACGAGCATGCGGCTCACCTGATGGTTAGTGACTACCGCCGCCCATGAACAACTGCAACACTAGGGGAACCAGGGGAATTGCAGATGCGTTGCCGGCCTTTTAAAAAGGAGTACGCTCTTTTCTTGAAGGTCCCTAAGTCGTATCGGTCCGGAAAAATCGCTGATGGTAATCGATTCCACAAGGAGGTCGTGCGAGGAAGAAAACATCTTCTAAATCGCACAGTGGTGGACCGCCAATCATCATCAAACGAAAAAAAAAATCATTATAAACGATTTCACTTAAGGACTGGTTTTCACGTAACCACCAAAAAGATTGATAACGATCTTGTTGGTATAGGACCACTGAAGTAAATGAAGTGTAAATAAAATATCACATGTTTAATTTAAACTTAAGACCTTAAGAGTTTAAAATTATCCTTATTCTGTGTTTACAATATCACGGTTGGTGTTTGTTTTAATTCTTGCGTTACCAGTAAAAAGGAAGTTCGTTTCTCATATACGAAACTATATACGAAACACAGCATCATAACGCTGCTATTTATACACTAGATTTCGGTGCGAACCGATTCGTGTTCTGCTGCAGCTTTAATATGGCTGTAGCATGGTTACGTTAAAGTTATTTTAAATCTTGATATTCTTATTGTGTCTTTACTAAGTCGTTTAATTGTTTGTCAACAGGTTTAACTTTTCAATATACAACGTCCAGAAAAGGAGGCCCCGTGATTGTGTACGGACGGCATCGTTACTATCGTTTGAGCCGTTGCAAAGGCCCAAAAATCCAATGGCCTTGCATAAAATGGAGGTCGAAAAGCTGCAGAGCCATGATCACAACATATGAAGATAAAATTATTATGTTTAAAAATAGACATAATCATTGAATGTCCCTCATTTCTTTGTATTAAATAACGAGTGCAAATTTTGATTGATTGTTTTATTTTATACTAGTGATCCGCCCCGACTTCGCCTCGATAGGATCTATTAATGTAGCATTATTTAGATTTAATTTTAAGTTATTTCGGTTATTTCTATCATAATATCATTAAAATAATCCCCTGAGCTCAATAGAAGCCAGTTATTTCAATGTTACAGACAAACACTTTAAGTTTATTTATATGTATAGATTAATATTATACAAAAACTATCGATAACAATGTGAGTGTCTTCAAGACAAGAGTGAATAGACTTTTGTTATGCTAAGGAACAATTATTTGTAGGCCATACAAATACTTGTTGTTGATTCCAACCCAACCACTTATGGAGCTATCTCTATTTAATATTTATCATTTAGAGCTATTTGGCGATAGAAATAGCTAAGAAGGTGGCACCTGTTTATACGAACTCCTAGGCAGAAAGGGCGATTACCCAGTAAAAGTGGTCTTACTATCCAGTTAAAGTGTATGTGTGTTTGTACTATTTAGTGATTGACTTAAGCTATTTCTTTTAGAGCCAATATATACGGTGTCTAAGTACGGTAGGCCCGTGATTCAATTGGGACCTTATCGTTACAACCGGCACAGCCGCTGCAAAGGACCGCGCGTGCAATGGCTTTGCTGTAAATGGTCCTCCGGTTGTCGCGCTTCCATAACTACTATTGAGGATTGTATTGTCAAGGTCGCCAATATCCATCATCATTGATTTACAGAGCAATATATTATCATATTAAAATCATACTAACGCCTTTATTATTCGGCGTGGCCCTCTTTGTTTAACTTTAAATAAATCAATTTTGTACCGATCAAGTACAAGATCACCACAAGTCGAGAACTATTTCTTTTAATTTCTCTATTGCGATTGATAATGTTAGCTGTCTAATTTATTCTAGCCTTCTATCACAACCGTTTTTTCCGTGCATCAATTCACAAACTTTAATCTGTTCACAAAACAAAAGTGTCATTTTTATCGATTTCATTTGCAAATGTTTTGTGTTTAGGATAATTTATTTTTGTCTTAAAATTTATAAATAAAAATTGTCTAATGTCTTTAAATTCTGGTCCAACACAGGATGATTCAGATAGTCGTTAAGTTGCCTTTCAAATTAATAATATCCTGCCTAAAATTTTATAATTATTGTAGCTGAATTTGTAATGTCCAAATTCGGGAGGGTTGCTCTCGAGATTGGTGGATACCGGTACAACAAGCATAGCCGCGGCGATGGGCCCAGAACTAACTGGTGTTGCTCTAAAAGGACCACTTTGGGTTGCAAAGGCAAAGTAACCACAGTCAACAATGTAGTTGTAAAAATAAATAATAATCACAACCATTAACTTATTTTTGTGTTTTTCTTTGCTTTTTGTTTTATCTTTATTTCTTGTTCTTCCATTGATTAAGATAATGAAATAGAAACTATTAACTTTTAAAACTTTAGTTACGAAACCTAAAGAACTTCAGTCTCTTTAAAATAGATTTTTTTTTCACTATCTTTATCGATATTTTGTTAAATCTATCACATTACTTGTCATTTATAATTAAAAAGATTAGGAAATGGTTATGACTGCTGTAATACCTACACTTAGTTTGTTATTTGTAGTAATAGCATTGACGATCGCAATAACAGAAATGTATCGCATCTTTGCAACAATTACCATGTCCTCAACATGGGGTAAATTATTCTCAATGAAACAATCTAACCTACTGGCCGTCTAAGGCAACATTTGTAAAAATTTGGCCACATTTTGATTGTCATCACTAATCGTGTCTTTCTGATAATGCGTTACCTCGATTACGGGTAGTTTGATTCTGCGTGTTGTGGTGGAACTTTATGATGACAAACTCTGTACTAGTATTATCGATATTTTTAAGAATACTGATATTGGGTTTTTATTTAATAATAATAATAATAATATCATTTATTCGCTTAAACATGGTACATCAGAGGTGACACATAGTTGCATATTGTACATAGACCACATGTTTACCACATCTGGCATACGAAAATTATTATTTAAATAAAAATAAAAAATTAAAGTATTTCATGCCTTTAAAAGTGGCTTCGATTACGTTTATAAATCAGTTTTTTTTTTGCAACAATACTCAAATTACTTTGTTATAATTTAAGTGAATTTCTAGATTAATATAATAAAAAAATAATACACATATTATTTCGTGTTTTTTTTTAAAAATAAATAATCACACTTACACAAACAAAAATAAATGATATTCAATCAGTTCATGTGAGTTTTACACACACTTTCACTTGTTATTACTGACTTTAACTCTATTTAACTCTATTTTACTATTACCTTAAATTTTTCTTATTCATCTTTTGATATTTTCTTTATATGGGTTTTATGAGCTTAAAAGTAAGTTCAATATAGTAATGGACAACTGTTTGTTGTAGTTGCTATTGCTCGACACATTTATTTTTATTTTACATGTTTGGGATACGGGATACAGAAGAAAGTTACTCGCCTAATAATGACTGTGTCACTTCTTCTAATATTTTTCTCTTACATATAGAAGAAAAAATGCCAGTAATTAAAAGGTGCATTTTGACTTTTTTTTTCTGTCATACTCCTAATTAATTAACCCTATTTTGGAATCAAATTAAAAAAAAATGCCATAAAGCCCAAAACTATATAAAAAAACGATTAGTTGTATTAAAATTAACAGAAAGGTTTGATCTGTTTTAAGAAATCGAGTCCGAGGGACCAGATTTCTTATACGCTTGTACATCAACAAGTACTATTTTGTTGTAGCGTCAAAGTTCTCCAAACGACATGGTTCGAGGGCTTCTTCTCTGTAAAAAATTTGCTCAGTTGAAGGGGAAATAAATAAATGCTTGGTCATTTAGAAGCAACGTAAAGCCCTTGTGTGGAACGCTAGGTATATTAATTGGCCCTTGATCTGAAATACCTCGTTGAGGTTTATGGCGGCATCAGAAATTGCCTAGTAGTTGAATTGACGAATTATTCAAATACGAGTCTATGTGCTCATTCTGGTTGCCCAAATTGCTGTAGCGACTATCAGTCGGTGGGCATAAATGCGGTGGAATTTCTAAAGGAACTACATCCGATTTAGATTATCGTTGGTGACAAGAGGGCTGGCTCTTTTTTTTCTCAAGGGCTAAGTGTAGCCACTTAGGAAGGTAACGTAGCCAGCGTTCTTGGCACAATACTGCTACTAAACGGATCCGTTACAGCCTAGGCAGTTAGCAATGGCAGTTTTTTATTTTTAATCGTTATTAGCAATACGCTGCTGCCCATCTCCTGATTTGTTACCCTCTATCACCTCTTACGACACCTACAGGATGATATGGGCTAGTGGATATTCTTACACCGCGTCTACACGGTCACAGAAAGGATCATTTGATATTATTTTTATTGTTGCGAATATAGTTGTATGTCTATTGTTGTTGTATAAGGTAAATCGAAGTGGTGTTTTAAGAATTTTTTACTTTGTTTGTAGTTGAATTTGTATTATCTAAATACGGGAGACCTGTGCTACAGATTGGTGGATACCGGTACAATAAACAGACCCGCAATGATGGCCCAAAAATTAGCTGGTGTTGCTGCAGAAGAACGACTTTGGGTTGCAAATGTAAAATAACAACTTACAACGGTGCGGTTGTGACGGTATATAATGATCACAACCATTAATTTCGTTGTTTAATTGTAATAATATAAGCTATTTTTAAGGTTTATAAGATTCTGTTTCAATTGCTTTTTTTTATAATCTGTTAATATGATAAAATAATTTCGTTTGAAATGTTATAAGAAATACAGCGGCTAAAGAAAACTTCTCTATTTCCTTTAAACTTTGTGTTTTATTTTCTGTGGTCTTGGGGAAATTTCCTAACATTAAGTTTAAAGTTCCTCCTAGTTGGTGAACGGATTACCGCTGGTAGTGCTCTTCTTCCTAGAAGAGGAATGTACTAAGTGGCAGGACTTCTTTCTTTTCTGCCTAATAGTTTATCTGGGTAGGTACACTTCTTATCTATTTATTCAGCAAAATAACAGTACTTGCACTGCTGTGTTCCGATCTGTAGGATACAAAACAGCCAGTAAGTATAGTATACAGATTGTGGGCATTCCAGTCTTAGTCTTAGTCTTCATAGGTGACAAATGAAGCCTTCTTTATTTGAAGTTGATCAAAAACGTTTGTCATATTACCTTGTGTAAAAAAAGAAAAATAATAATTTATTAAAAGATGGTAAAAATTTCTTTGCCTATATCTGCTTAATGAAATAAAATGACGAATGAATGAAATACCTAGTTTAAAGAGCACCTCTCGCCCTCCCTTAATTGCGTGCACTATCCCCGTCGCCACTTATCCCAGCACTACTATTCCCAACACCACTACACTAGTTACGTGGTAGAGCCATGCTGCAACTATATTACTAGTATAGTTGTAGCACGAATGGGTTGGCTCGACCGGGGAAGGACCACGCTCTCACAGAATACCAGTGTAAAATAGCAGCTTAATGCTGCTGTGTTTCGTATGGTGAGTGTAGAGGACCGTAGACCCTTTTTACTGGAAACGAGGCATTGCATCTTAGCCCTCACAGGTGACAACGCATCTGCAGTTTGATTTGTAATCGAGGAAATGTGTAGATGTCTATGGGCCACAGCAACCACTTACCATCTGGTGGACTGTGTGCTCGTTTGTCACCCTTATCATATAAAAAAAACTAGAAAAGACACACCACCGTTGATAATACGACACGTGTTTCGCCTCTACGCAATTCGTCCTCAGGTAACAAGTACGCAATTGAGGGAGGGCGGCAGGTGCCTTTCAAACTAGGTATGACACATTATTTCATTAAGCGGATGTAGGTAAAGTAAATTTTACCATGTTTAATATAATGGATTGTCACAAAGTAACGCCTGATTCTATTAATTAACAGAATCAGGCGTTACTATAGGCGTTATATAATAATTGATATTTATTTTCAATATATTTTCAAAAAAAACGTTTTCATTACAGCCGTTGAATTTGTTTTGTCCAAATACGGAAGGCCAGTAATCCAAATGGGGGGATATCGATATAACAAGCACAGTCCCGGCAACGGTCGCAAGATTCAATGGTTGTGCAGTAAAAGAAGAAGCCCTTTCTTCTGCCACGGCAAGTTAACTACTTACGATGGCGAAGTTATAGCTTTGCACGACGATCATAATCATTAATTATTTTTACAAATGTAGAAACAAGTTAGGATTTGATTTTGTACTAATGTATATTTGTTCCTTATTGTAAATTTATTACGTTTTTTTATAGGAGAGGGGGCAAACGAGCATGCGGCTCACCTGATGGCAAGTGACTACCGCCGCCCATGAACAACTGCAACACCAGGGGAATTGCAGATGCGTTGCCAGCCTTTTAAAAAGGAGTAGGCTCTTTTCTTGAAGGTCCCTAAGTCGTATTTCCGGAAAAATTTCCCTGTGGAATCGATTACCCCCAACGGGTAATCGATTCCACAGGGAAATTGTGCGAGGAATAAAACATCTTCTAAATCGCACAGTGGTGGACTGCCAATCATCCATAGTGTATGGTTGGTATCGTGAGTTTTGTCGCGATGTGCGATGGTGAAATTGAGCGACTGGAATTAGTCCGAAAAATTCGTCAGAGCATTCCCCGTGGTACATGCGATAAAATACGCAAAGAGATGCAACATCTCTACGCAGTGACAGTGAGTCAAGTCGATCGGAAAGAACTCGAACCGCTCTGCGGTGGGTGCGGATGCGGCACTGGGGAGCCCCTGCCCAGAGATGGGAACAGTATACCATGTGAGGCCGAACCTGCGCCTTGTAAAGTTGCGGGTGGTGTGCCGGCAAAATGTTCGTTCCTTTCATTTTATTATTAATTTTTTATGAATAAAATTGATTTATTTAGCATGTGCTCATGCCCGCATGATATTTACTTGTGATTTCTTATATTTACGCGAACACTACACATTTAAATAAAACTAATTTTACGGATTTTATCGCATATATTAACTTATTTTATATTACCGACGTTTCGAGCACTTTACAGCACCCATGGTCACGGGGGTTTAACTTCCCAATGTCATAGTTACCACGGCTATAAATTAATCTCGGAATATAAAATAAGTTAATATATTATGTCATTACTTGTGGCTTTTATTTTATATAAAAGTATGTAAATAGATGTATGTAAAGTGATAAAATTTAGGAAAACATTATATCTGGACTACGAAAACTGAAAATTGATTTTGAAGTTGTTTCCTTTTCTTTTGTTGAGGCATAATATATATGATTTCGATATATATAGATATATAGTTACTGTACTTACCTATTATATATTCTATATGTATTAGCCAAATCGTGATTTCTTAGAATTCGTCCAAATGATTCGTGGTAAAACCGATTTGTCAAAACGTATGTTGAGTCGATGGAATTGAATTAAAAAAAATGTATGCTGAGACACATAAGTTAAGGCAAAAACCGAATACTTTTAACCAAAGCGATAAAAATATTTCTTCTGACGGTTTCGTTCTCGTTTGAACGTATTTTTAATTATTCGTCCCTCAGTATCAGTCTGAACTCGCAATTCTTTATAGAATAAGTTTGACAAGATGGATGCCTCGTTTCCAGTAAAAAGAGTTTCCGGTTCTCTACACTCACCATACGAAACACAGCGGCATTAAGCTGCTATTTTACGCTGGTATTCTGAAAGGACGTGGTCCTACCCCGGTCGAGCCGACCTATTCCTGTTGCAGCCATAATATAGTTGCAGCGTGGCTTATTTTATTAACTAATGTTCCCTTTACCCACTCCTGGTAAGCTTGCTTACCACTCCTGGTAATGCTTGTGTTAGGAGTATTTCACGACAGTAATCGAATGGCGGATTCCACGACCTTTAGAGTTCGCGATCCGCACCCTGTCATAAGGATACTGTTGCTACGTAATGATTCTTTATACCACATTTGTTTCATTAGTCCTATACATCTTATAGGACTAATGAAACAATATAAAATAAAGTTCGTAATAATTTGCGATCCGGATCATGTAATATTATTTAATTAATTTGATTTTAATTTTAATTAAATTTTAACACTGTTCAACTTTAAACACATCTATCCAATTTAAATAAACCTAACTTAACAAACGGATTTCTGTATGCAAATATAAATTGTAAATATAACTTCATTCTCTTTTAAATTACTATATTATAAGTTATAAAAAATAAAAGATACTATTTTGATTTTTAACACGCTATACGTGAATGCTTTAATTCAATTATCCCTCACTTTCATACATTTGATTAAACTAAGGTTTTACAGACTTATTAATCGATGATAACGCAATCATGTCATGATCTGCACAGCCCATGATAAACGCGTCTTGTTTAACTTAAAATTATTATTAATAACTTCACTATTAGCTATCAGCTGTGTAATTCATACATTCATGCCTTTTCAGCCAATAAAATCAATAAGGTTATCATTCTACCCTGAGTAGCTTAAGATACCCAGCGTTTCTAATACAAAATAAGTTTAGAAAATTAAAACATCATTAATTGGAGCATATATTTGATCGTTTCAGAGCCGATCTTCACTACGTCTAGGTTTGGAAAACCGGTAATCATCTTGGGTAAATATCGTTACAACCGGTACTTCTATCAATTCAGAGATAGTGTGAAGGCTGTATGGCGATGCGTGAAATGGGCCAGTACAAATTGCCGGGCCTCCATCATCACCGCTGATAACATCATTATAATGATAAAAAATGATCACAACCACGATTGAAAATTATGAATAATATGATTTAAAAGAACTTTACCATTGAAAGAAAAGTCTTAAAAACTAGTTATAATTAAAAGTAAATTATTATTTTTCCTATCCTTCATGTGTTTTAACTGTTAGCAGATTCAAAAAAGTAACTGAAGACACAATTACAATACGAATAAAGATACAGTAATATTCTCTACCTTGGGGACTAAGATGAAATTTCGGTGCCAGATCTCCGATTCTCTACAGTATCCGCAGCATTGTGATGCCATTTTACGCCGGTATTATGTGAGAGCGAATCTTTTTGGGACGGTTCATTAGTGTAGCAGCTATAGCACCGTTTGGCTTTACTTTTATTAGAACTAACGAAATGATGATGACCTTAAAATAGTAAAATTGGATCATATTATAACCTAGCTGTGAATTTCAGGACCAAAGTACCTGAGTACCCGGCGTGGTCGTCCCGTTATAGAGTTAGACGGTTACCGCTATTACAAAAACAATAGAAGTAAAGGGCGCATCGCTTCGTGGTTCTGTGCGCAGGGAAGGTCATACCTTGCTTGCCGAGCTTCGTTAATAACCAGAGATAACGTCGTTGTTACAGTTAAGAACAGTCACTCTCATTAGAAACTAATTTTTTTTTACATTAAATTTAATATAAATTTAAAAATGTTTATAGTTCGATAGGCTGATAAAAGGTTTTTAAAATCATATTACGTATGCATGTTTCTGAACGCTCCCCAGCTCAGGGCTCTTTTTCTGCCTAGGGTGTACGAGTTGTTTCATCGTCATTTTATCAAATATTAACTTTTATTGAAATAATGTTGTATCTAATATATTTTGTTGTTCTAGATAGTTTAGAAATTATATAAAATAAAATTTGATGGGTTTATTGAAGCATTTTATTGCAGTAACTGTGTTTTCAAAGTGGATTTGTCACAAGAAACAAATAATTACGATGCTCTTGTTCTAGAGGTGAAGTTCACGATTTCACGGAGTGGAAATCCGGTGCTGGATATAGGCGAATATCGCTTTTACAAAAATAATCGCAGCACTGGGATGAAGGCTACTTGGTTCTGCAGCAAAAGACGTAAAGGCTGCCGCGCCTCTGTCATCATGTGTGGAACCATGGTCGTCGATATGAGCAATTCCTACTGCCACATTCATTGAACTGTTGCTCTGGTATTTTTTTTTAAATAAAGACAAGATACTTGGCATATTTTATAGGCATATTTCAAGAAATATTTGTGTTTAAGTTGTATGTATATATTACGTTATTTTGTTGAGGAAAATTCCAGTTCATTCAATTAAGGCCAACAAAGCAAACATTTTAATAAAGTACCTACTATTTACACAAAAACAGCTTTTATATCCACACAAAATGTTAGCTTAGCACAAGGTTAGCTGTGCCTGCGATTTCGTACGCGCAAGCATGTATCATTTACGAATCCAAATAATATGAACAAATTAAATTTTGTTGCATATTATAAGGTATAATTACCATCATCATTAGCCCGTGAAAGTTAGCTTCTGGGTCTCTTACTTTATAGGAAGGGTTTGCTTTAATATTCACGCTTTGGCGAATTGACGATTGCAGTACCAGAAGTCTCGCATTCGTACCGGACACAGATGCATTTAAGACTCACACGGGACATGTAACGCCTGGCAATTATTAATTCACGTTCACTGCTGGTAATCTTAACCCGTATTATCCCATAGTTGCTAATCACAAAACGTACTCGGCGGTGAAGGAAAACATCGTGAGGTTTCGCATGCCTGGGAAATAAGAAAAAAATAGATTTCGAAGACATGTGAAGTTTGCCAACACGCATTGGGGCAGCGCAGCGGATATTTACTAGCTCTAAAACCCTCTCAGAAATGAGAGGAGGCCTGTGCCCATCTGTGCGACGTACTCGTATATGGGCTGTAACTTTAACTAACTTTTTTTTTTTCGATAGTTGGTGTTGTGTTAAGGACGAGTGTCTCTCGCTACAAAAGTTATCGCCGTGTATTTATATTAAGATTTTGTAAAGGGTATTTTTGTGTTTTAGGAATATATAAAATATTATGTGACCTACCTGTATATATTTATATTTGTATTCTTATATTACATCATTTATTTTCGCGTTGCCTTTATCGTCGTACGTACGTCTATAGATATATTACTAAAACAGAGATCTCTCGTATTCATTCACTTTCATGACCATTATAAGTTCAGTTACTGTTTTTACCTTTTTTATTTGGCGTACAGGCCTACGTTACGTTTCAACATTTGTATTGGTCATAACAGCACATTCATGGCAATGTTTGCCGAGTTCTTATGTAGACTCAATTGAATTTTTATTATAACAAGTCCCAGGTCCAGTCTTATTACAATTCGTTGCAATTTTATATTTATTACCATCCGGGCTATTTAGCCCATGACAATAACATCTATTTAAACTGCAAAACATATTTTCTCCAATAATTTATATCCTAACACCACATCCCTATCTCTACTCAAGAAACTGGTAGACGAGTCAGATTGAAACAGTCTGTAAAATTTGACTTTAGCTTTTTCATTGTAGTTTTCAACAACAGTTATCGCCAGAGCCACCGTGCGTCAGATGAGGTTGGCGTTAAAACATAAAGGTTGCCATATTTTCTCTGACACCCAAAATTAAATATAATATATTATAATTGTAGTTTTTGAAAGAGCTAGTATTATACCATTGTATATCGTTTTTTATTTCAGGACCAAAATTTACAACAACTTACAATGGTCGTCCAGTCTTGCAACTTGGACTGTATCGATATTACAAGAATAACCGAAGTCGAGGTCCAAAAGCGACTTGGTTTTGTTCCAGGAACAGCAGCAAACCTGGTTGCCGAGCGTCTGTCACTGTTATCGACAACTTTATTGTTGATGTTAAAAACAAACACAACCATTAAGTTTTAATTAATATACTGTACGTACAACTTTTTGCCTGTGATTGTTACTACCGTAGATATCAACTTCTGATATCTCTTTCTCTCTCTCTCTCTTCTGAGATCTTCTGGTATGGTTGCTTCTTTTAGGAGTTGATTTCCAAATAATCAGACAAAAGTTCAAAATCTATCCATCCATTACAATCTGTAAAAGTCTACTGCTGAACATAGGCCTCCCCTATAGATTGCCTCATAGGGGCGATTTTGCCATAGTTGTCACACTTGGCATGCGAGTTGGCAACCGTAGTTCTTTATTATTTTGAGTTGTTATCAGGAAGATGCTGCTGCCCATCACCTGTTTCAGTTTCCCTTTGTCGCCTCTTACGACACCCACGGGACGATATGGGGTAGTGGATATTCTTAGACCGCGAATACACGGTTAGTTGTGTTAATAAAGTAGTCCAATTGTTTCATTTTAATCTACGTTTAGATATTTTTTTTGTAATGAATAACTTATCTGACGATTAAAATTAGGTCTGAAAATTAAGTTTTATGTTTACTTTTAATTGTTACGGTAAACTTGCTAGTGCATTTTTTGCAATCCTCATTCGTCGTTTTACTGTTTTAATAGAATTCTTATATTAATTTATGTTAATCAAAAAAGTATCGAAAATATTATAATGTATGTACTTATAGTTGCGGTAGAAACTTTTATTCTCTATTTTATTTTGCATGGTTCGTTCCTTTCTAATTGCCAAAACTTATTTACTATCGGGAATCGACGCTTTATATAATTTATGATATTAAAATGGCAATAAATATCATACTTAAGTAAAAAAATATATTAATATCTTGTGATTGTGTGTACCGGTTTCTTTTCAGGTTTCGTTTTCTGCTATTCAAGGCACGGGAACACCGTTCTCTGCAATGGAAATTATAGGTATAGAAAAAGCTATGAGTATAGCGACGGCGCTAGGATTAAATGGGAGTGCGTGAAGGTCGGCAAATCGCGGGGTTCCTGTGGGGCCACTGTCGTTACCCTGGATGGAGCTGTTATCGAAATGAAGAGCGATCATAATCATTGAACAATATCTGGTACATGGTTGGCTTATATCCCTTTCTTTGTGCTCTTTTATTGTATGTAGTATTGTTTATTTATTGTTTTTAAATTGAAAGTGTTTGCGTTTGTTTATAAAATAAATACTTTTATTAAGGTTTATAAAGCACAATATTAACAGGAAATGCTCATTTATTAGTTATTTAAGTGGAATAGAAATTTGAATTGCTTTATTTAAAAATTAATAAATTAAACACAACATGTACATATGTTTTTATGTATTTTATTTTGATGTATGTAGTTACTATGCATCCTGAAGGATGCTTATTTGTATGTCACATTAAGTAACAATTTATTAAATTACACGTTTGTTGTAGCGGCCGCACAGCACATGTTCACGACCTCACGTTTTGGGAAGCCCGCGATTCAGGTTGGCAAGTATCGTTTTAACAAAAATAACCGGAGCTACGGACCCAGGGTTTTATGGGTGTGTTGTAGAGTCAGCTCCGGCTGTCGCGCTAGTATCACTACGATTGATGACGTCATCATTAAAGAGAAGTCTACACACAACCATTAATATTTACTGTCATTATTTGGTCTATTTAGGTTTCATTTTATATAATACGAGTATATAACGATTAAATCTATTTCAAAATTAAATATGCTTTTTGTTACATTCAATATTATTGTGAATATAATAGTTTGATAAGAAATATTAGAAACAGTCTTTATTTTGTGAACCATTACTATAACAATTTTTATATTAGCTTTCGAAGAATGGTAAATGAAAATTATATTAAGTAAATTTCGAAACATTTGCTACCTAGTCTTGAATTCGGCAAAGAAGGTGCACACCGCGCAGAAAGTCTCGACTTAGCTAGAACTAAATTACATAACAGTAGTTAGAGTATACTTAATTAAAAATTAAGCTTTTATTCAAAAGTATAACCAGTAGTAACTCAAGAAAGAAAGCAATAGGGAAAAGTGGTAGGAAAGTAGTAAATCAGTGAAATTTTCAATGTCGCATTTCCAAAGGTTCCGGTCTTGACTGCAGTCATCAGTGGACTGTACACGGGTACTTGATTCGGCGCTGAGTAGTCTTGTAAAATACTACATCAATTCTTCATAAAGCCCCCCGTGGAAATGTAATATTGAATATCTCACTACTTTATAACTGCCCTATCACTTTTCCCTAATTGGTTAAAGAGGCGGGAGAGTTGTGTTAGTATGGTGCGAACTCTAAGATCATAGAACTGGGGATCTCTGCCTACCCCTCTGTAACAGGCGTGAAAGATTATGTGTCATCAAGCTTTATTTCACGTATTTTTGTGGTATGAATTTTCTAATCTCGCATATCAAAATAATTAAATCGGGTAGTATGGCCTTGTCAAGACAACAATGAAGCCCAACTTCTCCGCTTCGTGTTAGAAGTGCACATCCATATTCCGTTAGTGCTACTACCACCACTGCAAAATAATAGAGTAAGCGTATATCTTACTAGATGGTGGAGACTCCTTTCCTGCCCAGGAGTCCGCCTTTGTAATTACCGTAGTCTTACCTATTTCTGCCGCCAAACAACAGTGCTTGCACTGCTGTCTTCCGGTCTAAAGGGTAAAGAGAGCTATAATTTAGGTTGTGAGGCATTCCATCTTTGTCCTCAGAAGTGACAACACATCTGAAGCCTTCTTTGTTGGAAATTGGCAGCAGATGTCAAAAAAAAAACATACTGAAATTGCATAGTATACTTCCAAGGACAAAAATAAAATATATATATATCTTGAGTGTATACTCGATTTTTGCGTAATACGCGAATATACGAGTAGTATCTACCTAATCGGGGAATAAAGTAACGTTGCAAAGCACATGACTATTAACTCTTGATAAATATTTGACTGTTAATACTTTGTTTGACTAAAACGACGCTCTAAAAGGCCATTATAAACAACAGCCTTTTTCTGAAGCTCGTGTCTTGTCAGGTATTATAATTCTAACCATTAATGTGCATTTAGTGTCCCTTTTGGAATCGAAGCCCAATTGCTATATAAAACTATGCTCTACTGACGCGGTATCTACCAATCAAATGAACCAATAAAAGAATTCATTTTGACCGGGTGCGAGCCAAACGAAACTCATAAGCAAACGATCCTATATAATTAGGATCGAAACGATTGTATGAATTGTTTAAACAAGAGCATATATAAGTATATGTATTAGTATTGTGTTAAAGTGAGTATTGAGATTACCCATATTGAGATTACCCATTGAACCAAAAGAGTTTCTACTATGCATTTTTGGTGTAATTGTGGTTACAATATTAAGAATTACGATAAAAATCGATTACCAATTATTTTATCTTATAAAAAGGACCTGATTTACCCACAAGCTAACTTCACTAGAGCCTAGGACGCAAGGAGTGAGGGAACGTTGTGTTTGCCTTTGCGAGTATCACTTACCTACAGAATAAAATTTTGGAAATAGAGCAATTGTCGCAAGCATTTTACTTCTTCTAGGCTTTTTCTGGCTGGTAAAAAAAAAGAATTTTAATTATTTGGTGCCTTTTAGTAGTACTTTTAGCCTTTCGTTGACATCGTAGCCAGTCAGGCTGTGGTTGTTTGGTTGGTTAGTTACACAGACCATAACTTATCAATAATGAATTAATATATAATTAAATATTAAAAAAAACTATATCTATACATGTACCCATATTATTAATGCGAAAGAACTCACTCTAATTATCTATTACTTTTTGCGTTTGCTAAACAGATTTCGATAAGACAAAGAGATAAAGTGACTGCATCCTGAGGAAACTGTTTATCACAGGAAAATACCTTATTTTCACAGGAAGATTTGTTTTAATGTGTGTGAAACTGCGGGGTTGAAAGTAAGTAAGTTCATTCGTGGGCTGGGCAGGCAAAGGCAGGGCAGGCCTGTGCCTGTCAGAACTCTAAATCAAGCATTGCGTATAAAGACTACCTACATTTGATACGATTGAAGACGTTTATATTTTCAGACGCTGTTATGACGACTTCTCGATACGGGCGGCCGGTTATAATACTCGGCTCCAACCGTTACAACAAAAATAATAGGACGCAGGGACCGAAGGGACTCTGGTTTTGCTCGAAAAAGCAGTGCCGCGCGTTCATAACCACGATTGATGACGTCATCGTAAAAATGAATGAGGTACACAATCACAAGAACTATTAGATACAATTCTCTGTAATGAAAATTAAATAATATAAAATTAAAAATTTTAATTAAGTTGTAATATTTTTCAATTTGACACCATTTTAATTAATGTGTTGTAAATAAATTGTACGCCTCTGTAACATTGAAATATTATACATATATATACTATATATCCTATACAGAATTATTATAAAAACGCCATTTAAATGTACTTATTTATTAAAACTGTATCCCAATATAAAATCAAATGTATGCTATATAGGTACATTCAATATATTATTATTTATATAATATCTGTCAGATCTTCATACCGACGTGATTTAAATGAATTTCTTAAAAAAAAATTAATATACATTAAAATATGAGAATATTGTTATTAATAAATTCTTTTAACAGTAACTTTTAAACTAAAATTCATTACGAATAGAAACCTATGTTTCATATTTGATTTTGTTTCCTATCCACTATATCTGTTTTAAATGACAGATAATGTCAAGCATATAAGGAGCTTAGAATGAACTACTTCGTACATACACATTATAAGAAATTCCCAATTTTGGTGTAGTCATTTATTAACATCTTTGTTTATATTTAAGTTTGCTTAGTCGTTCATAATGCGTACATCAAAGGAAAGGAATAATTTTCCAGCATCTATCTTTCCATCCGATTATAATGTGGGTGGCTTCAAGAGTGAATATGCATTTATTAAACTAAGTCAGTGCGCTTTACCATCTACGGCAGCATCACCACTTACCATCAGATGGGTTAATAGTCAAGCTCTGGTTTATAATAGTAAAATAAAATAATAAAATAAAATAATCGTTGATGCGACTGTTAGTGATCGTGTAATTTCTGAACTTTGGAATCGATCATATTTACACAATAATAATATGTATGTCGGGATGATGGTTTATAAAGAGGCCATGCTAGGATAGATAACAAAACCTTTATTTTTTGACCAAAATAGCTTATAACCACAATATAATATGTTGGGTTTGTGCCAAAAAAGAATATCACAAAATCAAGACCCGATAGATACCTTTATAATTATTATTACATTTTTTGTTTATGCTGTAAATAGTTAAACTCATCGCGTCACCTACCGGAAAGGGTAGAACAACGTTTGCCAGGCCGCACTAGCTGATACCCGCCACTTCGTCCGCGTTGCTTGATAATTTAACAAAGCTTTCGTGTGTGCGAAGGAAAAACATCAAAATGATCGCAAGCAAAAACATACTTTGGTTACAAAATTTCTTTGTAAACAATGTTAGTCGTTCCTCCGTTTGTAGCTAAAATATATAAATTATCTGCGTTAGTAACTGCGAGAGCAAGCAACGTACCGATGACCGTGTGAAAAACTCCTTATAAAAATAGTTGCTTATTAAAAATTTAATAACTTTATATTAAATTAAGATATCGCAATATTTTTTTAGATAAATGCCAAGTGTCTAAGAAATGAAACTTAAAAAAACAAATGTATCCAGTAGTTTTTTACGAGTACGTGATGCGCACACAACTGAAAACCTCTATCATTTTATTTATATAGATGTTTTTTTTTAACCCGTGCATTCTGGTCTCTCGCCAAGGCTGTCCAAGGGAACTTCTGTCAGCCATCCCTTCCATCTCACAGAGAGGACGACTCACTGGCCCATGCCGCAAAAGAGAAAGCCGATCTGTTGTGCTCTCTTTTTGCGTCTAACTCGACTCTAGATGATGGGGGGAACACACCGCCGACCATCCCGCGATGTGAGTGCTCCATGCCGGATGTGCGATTTACACAGCGCTCGGTTCGCAAAGCACTCTTCTCCCTGGACGTCAGCAAGTCGAGTGGGCCCGATGGAGTCCTTCCCATTGTGCTGAAGACGTGTGCTCCGGAGTTGGCACCGGTTTTAACGCGTCTTTTCCGTAGGCGTAGTCCCGAATTCATGGAAGACAGCTTTTGTCCACCCGATCCCTAAAAAAGGCGACCGCTCAGACCCGTCCAACTACAGGCCTATCGCCATCACCTCCTTGTTCTCCAAAATAATGGAATCCATTATAAACTGCCAGCTCATGAGGTACCTTGAGGATCACCAGCTGATCAGTGACCGTCAGTACGGTTTTCGTCGGGGTCGATCAGCAGGTGATCTTCTAGTTTACTTAACTCATAGATGGGTGGAGGCAGTAGAGCCCAAGGGGGAGGCATTGGCCGTTAGTTTGGACATAGCGAAGGCCTTCGATCGGGTCTGGCACAAGGCGCTTCTCTCGAAGCTTCCTTCCTATGGGCTTCCCGAGAAATTGTACAAATGGATCACCAGTTTCCTTGCTGATCGGAGCATCAAGGTCGTAGTAGACGGTGCATGCTCTGATTTCAAGCCTATCAACGCTGGTGTTCCACAAGGCTGCGTGCTA